ATTAGACAGATATTTATTGATAGAGCACTACCTGCAGGTATATTATTAGTGGTTTTTCCTGACCATCTATTTGAATTCCTGTCAATCCCATCCTAGGTTACTCAGCTTCTATTTTTGATTCTCCCTCAACTCCCACATGCAATGAGCCAATAAATTCTCTTGCATGTACTTCTAAATGTATCTCAGCCAACTCGATTGCCCTCACCCTAATTTAGGTTATCATCCTAACCATCCATGGTTATCATCCCCCAACCATGGGGACTACCCATGGTTCCCAATGCAGATCAGTCTTAAAGCACAGCTTTGAACACACCATTTCCCCACTTAGCATATCTTTGGTGGTTCTCTAATCAACAGGCTTAGTCTAGCATTTGAGATGCTTCATAATGTGTTCCTAATCTTCCCATGCCACCTTCTCTCCCATTAAACTGCTTCCATGCTCCTCAATCTCCATCATAACCACTTTCTTCTCCATTCCTGCATAAGCTCCTATATTCTTTGCTTCAAATATTAATGAAGGCTGGTTTCCAAATTTCTGCCAGTTGATGACCAATTCTTTAAGGCCTTGCTCAAAATTCCCTAATTCTTTCCCCAAATTTTCGCATAGTAATAGATTTTTTTTCCTCCTCTGAAAAGCATTTTCTTTGTGCCTCTGTCATAGTTCTTCCATGTAACACAGGCTCTCATTACCTGTCTTACCCTCTATATGACTGTTGAGCTTCTCAAAGGAAGAATTAACCCATGTCCTCCTTGTACTGCCTGACCTATAGTAAGCTGAATAAGAGAACATTCAACTTACATTTGTATCCTATAATAATAAAATAATATTAACTTATTAATAAAATAATAAATTATACTTCATTTCATCAAAGTTAATTAAAGTAAATTCTTAGGCCTAGAAACTAACCATTATTTTGTAGTTCCTCTCATTAAATCAAGAGTATAGAAATCATTTTACTTAAACTAAAATCGCTGAATTGTGTATTTTAATTGGTTCCCCAAATCATAAAGTGTAGGATAAGACATTAGAGATTCTTCCCCCATCCCAACCACCAATTCTATAGTTGAGGAATTTGAAGAATTAGAGATTATCCTGATCCCCACAGTCATACAAATCAATAGTTGTAACTATAGCACTTATTACTTATCAAGGGCCTCATACATAGCAAGCAGGCTCTTTATACATTATGCCACTATCACAACAATCCTTCAAGGTAAAGGGCACCCTACTACCACCACATACACGCTTTAGAGATGAGAGAATTTCCCATGACATTAAGTAGCTTGCTGTATAGAATACTGCTTGTTAGAAGCAGAGCTGAGTTTCAGCCCCAACTGGTTGGTTGGAAAGACTTGGCTTTTCTATTGAATACTGTGGCAGATACAAGCCCTACTTGATGTTCTGACTCCTGTCTCCTACTGCTTCTCCAGTGAATATGCCAACTAAGTGATCTGAATACTTAATAAGTTTTAAGTCATTAAAAAAAATCTTGGGAGCATGAAAATTTAGAAATTAATCAGTAGTTTTACTGAATTTAAGGTTATTTACTGCTAACATTTTCTCATTCTCTCTCTTGCTCTGTTTTTTAAAAAAACAATTAATTTATTTGTTAATTATTTTTGTGGTGCTGGGGGTCGAACCCAGGGCCTCATGCTTGTCAGACAAGACCTCTACCATTGAGCAATATTCCCAGCTCTACACTGTTGTAGGTTGACTCCCAAGCCCCTTTCTTGGGTGCTGGGGAAATCAAACCTAGGACCTTGATTTCCTTGATTACTTGCTAAGTGAGTGCTCTACCACTGAGCTACATTCTTCAGCCCCCAACATTCTCATTCTATTATCAGAAAACGTCTTCCATCTAGAAAATAAATTTGTTTTCCTACTTTTCCCTTCTTTAATAACTTAAAAATTCATTTGTCCAACCACATTCAACAAGTTTCATTAAGTACCTAGATGTCCAGGGATACTGGAAGGTACAAAGCTGGAAAACACATACTTTTGCTGCCTGCATCTACTGACRGGAGGACCTCCACTGCTCCATGGGAGCTCTGGCTAATTCAGGGACTTCCAACAATGTAAGGCCTGGAGTAGGAATCAGGACTCAGTTCTAATCCCAGACTGCATCTTGGGCAAATCATCTCACTATGCCTTAATTTCCTCAGTAAACAGATTGTTAAAAAGGAAAGAACTGTGCCAAATAATTTCAAGGTCTCTTTTAGCTCTAAAATTTTATCTTCTTTGAGATCACTCTTGAGATTAAGCTTCTAAAAGTGATCACAGTTACTGTTATGAAAAGTGCACACTCTTCTTTAACTTTGGAGTACTAAGTTATAAGAAGTATCGCTACAAGATTAAAACTGATTAGTATGCATCCAAAGTTTATTATTTATAACAAAGTTTATCAAAGTTAATCATCTAGAAGAGTAGCCAAAAATCCTTCTTTCATCACATTCCTGACTAATCTTTAATTCTTTACAATTCATTTAAGATGTTTACATTATAATTGTGTTTTTTTACACTGTAATTTTAAACAACTATTATGCACTCATCTATGGAGTTACTGACATTGACCACAACAATAAATTTGAATTAAGGCCTTTGTAGAATAAATCTTGTATTCATTTAGTCAAATTAATACTTTATGTCTACTATAGACCTTACCATACTACAGCTAAGTTTGAGGATAGTTTACAAGTAGTGGGGAGGAAGGAATATGGAATATCAGTATTTGAAATGAGTGGGACATACCGGAATGTGAGAATTTTACTTTGCAGATTCTGTTTCAGAGTTTTGCACTACTTTTTCAAGTAGCACAGATAATATTTTTAATCATCCACTAACCTACACAGTAATGCACTTTTTCTTGACAAGGATCGAAATACCTTCTTCCTTCATACCAAGGTTAGGATGCTTAAAGCCATCTTGTGCTGTAAGTTAACAGCACAGAAGACAGAAATCAATCAAAATTAGAAGTCAAAAGAGAAAATTAAAACTTTATCACTGTGGTGACTTCCCATAAAAGGCATTCCATTCAAACTGTCAAAGATAGCCCTACCAAGAAACCAGGAAAAGAGTTAATTTATTCACTCTTCAATAAATTCCGAGTGCCGAATATATACCAGGCACTGTTCTAGATGTTAGGGTTATACGCAGTGTACAAATGAAATACCCTACCACAGTGGAGCTTACATTTCTGTAAGAAGAGATGGGACCTAAAAAAGACCTAAACAATAAAAAATAAAAAAATAAACACAATTAAATGCTATGAAGAAAATCAAATAGGACAGCGTAGTAGGGTGGTTGAGGTGGAAAGGGTCAAGAGGTTAGTAGAGTAATGGAGAGGGCCTGGGTGGATAGCCACTATTTGAGAGGAGCCTAATATGATGACAAAACTTTATTCATCCTACAAGTGTGGAGTGGGATGGGAATGAGTCAAGTTAGTGTTTAAGGGTGTTCACAGTGGGAGAAAAAAAATCTGTTTATGAATGGTAAATTAGGTGCTGTTTAGAATTTGGCCTTTAAAACAAACAAACAAAAAGCACAAAATGTAGTCTTTCAGATCATCCACTTAAGGAGCCACTTATTTTTTAAAGATACACTTATTTTTTATATTTGCTAATTACTGAATAGCTGCTTTAGTAGATGAAATTATTAGAAAGATTCCTTCAGAGTCCAATACCTCCCTCACTCGACACCATCCAAATTCTGAATGAGATAGTACCAAGCTCTGCAGCGAATCCGCTTTCCTCCACCGGTTCATTAAAGCAGCCAGGTAGAATTTTGTCACCCATCCAAAAACGCGAAACAAGTCTTGGGGAAGATGGGGAACCTGACACCCTCAAAGTTAACGTGGAAGGGAGGGAAACCCGTCGCCCTTTTGCACTATCTCCCCTCCGCCCCTCCAGGCGTCATCACTGCAGAAGGGCCGCTCTCCCCGGGTCTGAGGCACACGGCGAGTACGCGCGCGTGTGTGTACCCCGCATGAATCATCCAAGCCGGGTCCGCGGGGCGATGATTCATTCACCGCCCTGGAGCTCACTGCCACACGTTCCGGGCGTACTATGACGGCCGCACACGCAGCTTCCTTAATATTAAACAAATGTTTCAAAGTACAAACGCCTGGAGCCAGAAACGTGTAGACCCGGGAGAGGGGGCGGAGAGGAAAAAGCACATTTCGGCCGCGGCCCAAGTGTTCCTGGGGCTGGGAGGGGAGTGGCGGGCACGGTTGTTCCCCTACCCCACCCTGACACGCGCGCGGGCGGCGCCCGCAGGGGGCGCGGAGGGCGCACAGGTGGGTCCCCGCCCGGCCCAGCCTCTTGCCGCTCCCTGCCACTCGCGGAAGGCCAGAGCGTCCTCGCCGACGCGCCTCCCGCTCGCCCCTTTCCTCTCCGTGACATCTTATATAATAACCCAAGCTAATCAAAACGGAAGCGACGCGCGCTACCGGGGCCCGTCTCCCGGCCCGGAGGAGATGCTCGCACCCTGAGCCAGCGGCCCCCGAACTAGGCGCCTGGACGCCCGGCTCCGGGGCGGGGGAAGGGCCGAGCGCCGACTCCGCTAGTCCCTCTAAGGCGAAGGCGCTACTGTTGCCGGTCCCCATCAGGAAGCTGCGAGCGTCACAAACTGCGTCAGCTTCTTCAAACACATTTCATGGTCTCCCTCCAGCCCGGGAGCCGCTGCTTCTGTGACGGGGCCGCTGCCGGGGCTGGCAGGCGCCCCTCTGGGGAGGAGAAAGTTCCTCCGGGCCCTCCCCTAGCCGGCACAGCGCCGGGCCCGCCGCGCAGCCCCTCTCCGTGCGCCGCCCGCCCCGCCGCGCAGCCCGCACCAATGTCAGGTTAGGCAACTTGTGACCCTCGGCGCCGAGCGGCCCCCTCCCGCCCGCCAGGCTCGCTTGGCGCCGGGGGCCTTCCCTTAGCCCAGCGGAAAACAGCCACGCCAGAAACTTCCCCGGGCTGTGCCGGGCGGGGAAGTCGCCTTGGTCTCTGCGCATCGCCCTTACCTTGCTCTCGAGAGGCCACGATCCGGGCGGGCCGCGCGGGGCGCCTGGTGCGTGAGCGCGCGCGCGCGTGGGGCGGTAGGTGAGGGAGCCCGCGCCGACGGGGGCGGGGCGGGGCAGCGGGGGTGCGAGCGGCGCGGGGCGGGGGGCTGGGCAGCCTGGCGGGCGGGCGCGAGGAGAGCGGAGCTCGCTGTGGCGGCGGTAGCGGCAGCCGAGGCGGCGGGCGCTGGGCGAGCGCGCCAAGGGGGCGGAGGAGTTGCCGTGGGTTTGTTTACGCATTGCTGCCCGGCTCGGGGCACAGCCCGCACTCCCTGATTGGACACAAACTGGGGCACAGCCTCTCGCCGCCGCCCGCCAGGCCTCCTCAAGCCGCCGCCGCACAGCTCCCGGAGCGCCTGCCCTGCACGGCCCACGACAGTGCCCGGGCCTGGAGGGGACGAGCGCGGCGGCTGTCCAGGACGGGCTTGGAGCCAAGCGTTCACCCTGGGCTTGCAATCGCCCACCTGTAGTGGACCGACCTTGGCAAGGAGAAACTCGAAACTTCCTTGGCTAGAGACTTCTTATCATCCAGCAGCAGAAGTCCCCCCACCACACACACACCACACAACCTCATCCCACACATACAGACGGAGGAAGCTTGCCCTTGAATAGATAGAAAAGCTTCCCTAATGTGAATACGCTCCTTTGGCGAGGATCACGTCCAGGCTTCCTGTTTAACCTGCCCTCCGGGTACTAGAAGTACCTTCCCCTGCCTCAGGCTTCTCTACTTCTAATCTGTCCTTTGCACTGCATTCAACGTTGCCCTCCCAGAAGTGACCTTGCCACTCCGATGCTCAAGATCCTCTGATGACACCCCGTCATGGCCTCAAGCTTCAATGCATTAAACTCTGAGTCCCCCACAAGTGGGTCTCCATGTTTAGATCTCCTCTACACTACCCAACCATCACCCTAAAGCCCCTATCTACAGACAGAACCTCAGATGCCTGTCTCTTTACACTCTTATTTGGAGGCTGCTCTGTTCTCTGCCTGAAAACTCCGTTTTCCTCCACCTGTCAAAAATCCTCCTAGATTCTTCTGATTGTGGTTGGCATCATTCTGACTTGGGAGTCAGTATTGTGCCTAGGCTGTAGCCCCACTAGTCTGTGGATTCCTTAAGAGGAGCCTGGTTTCAACAGGGTGTTGGTGATGGGAGAAATGAAAGCTGTGAGAATAATACCCTGTAGTCTTTCAGTGTCTGCAGCGCTGCTGGGACTGGAAAAATCGAAGTCTGTATCACAAACTTCATCTTGCCAAAAACAAATGCTTCCAAAAACTGAATACACCCTCCATTTTCCCTGTGTCTCTGTATTTACTTCCCACCACTATGTACCCCTATACTTATAGTGGGCACTTAATCCTTGGAGGAATAAAACTGAATTTTACAGAGCCGTTTCTTAAGCCAAAGCTTACAGTGATCAAAGTGAATAAAGTACACCATGGAGGAATAGTCAGGAACAGACATTAATGCAGTCATTTTACAGATATTTACTTGGGCTGGGAGCCCCCAGTACCGATAGCTGGTGTAGATTTGTCCCTGTCTGATCAAACACTGCTTCTAATCTGTCCTCTGGATGGACCCAAACCCTATTGGACTCTTGGGATGGCTGGATTCCTTTCTCTCTGTATATGTGCTGCTTTATGGTCCCATTGGGAAAGTGTCTTTGAACTTGAGGTGAATCTAAATGAAAGCAAAGTTTTCTTTCCCAGACAATTCAATAGTGATATTTCAATGTGGCCAATTAGTTACAAAAGTATTGAAAGAACTGGAGTGCAACCAGAAGAGGATGAGGCAGTGTTGAGATTAGCAACTGCTGGAAGCATCTCTTCCCCTAGGGCTTGAGGGACTGAAAGAGAAGGTTGCCAGAACCATGAAAGGCATTGTGAACCGAAGCCATGAAGGAAGTGCAGCAACTGCTGGAGACCCCTTCTGGAGCAGGGTGCTGGGGAGAAATTCCTTGGCTACCCCTTTTCTCCCACCCTTCAGAGCCGCCCAGTGGTAGAAAGCAGGACAAGCCAGCGGACTTCATGACAGAGTGTGGTGTTGGTATTCCCACAGTATAAAGCAGAGAAGGAAAAAAAGAATGGATCTGAGAGCACAATAACAAGTGACTGTTGCCCTGAGCTTGGGTGCAGCACCTCGTTGTCTCTGGATTTCTCCTCCAGGTCAGAATCTGCAGTACAACCAAAGGTTTTCTTCCCACGTTCCTTTCGTTCCTTTCTCTTTGACTTTTGGCTTCCATTCTCCTCCCATCCTTCTCTACCATGACTTCCTGACTTTCTTTTTGCTCTCTCTTCTCTATCTATGGCTCTCATTTTCTTCTTTGTGTTCCCATCTATTTCCTCTCCTGACATCTCTTTCCCCCACTGAGTCTCTTCTCACCTCTGCTTGTCATATCCCTCCCTGGGCAGGATTCAGCCTTCTTCAGCATGAAAGAGGTGCCTGGGTTTCTTAATAGGTAATGCAATTGGGAACTACCATCTCATTGCTCTTCTAGATACTAAGTTATATATTTTACATACATTATCTCACATTTAATCTTCATCTCCTACCTATTAGCTGGGCATTGGCTGAAGACAATTTGTGGCTTTTCTATTGCCTGTCACAGAGAAGGCTTTGTACAGGTCACCCACAACATTGCTGACAGTTCTGTTATGGTTCATATTTGTGTTTCCTTATATACMCTTTCTTCTTAGCCTATATCTTTTCCCTTCACTAGCACAGATACTTCCCCCCAAATCTCAACCCATGACAGTCTAACCCAGTCCCACTCAAAATATCCAAAGATCGATGATTGGCTACTGGGAAGAGGTAGCATTTCAGCTAACTTTTGAGGAAAGGATAGAATTTGAAAAKATATCTATTAAGGAAGGGCATTCTTGGTGGGACCGAAAAGAATATGGTCCAACTTGACTGAAATCCAAAGGAAGGCTAGGATAATTAGATCATCTTTTGGAAATTTGTCTTTAGATCTCAGTTCTTTGAGATAGCCTACTCAGAAATATAAACTATAAATACAGTAAATACAGATATAATTCATATAATTAGAACCATGTTTAAGTCATAAAGAAATCTCAACATTGTCTAGCCTAACATGTCCATTTATTTTTATAATATATGTGGTAGTACTCTTTATTTCTTTTCTTATTTATTTTGGGGGTCCAATATAGGACCTTTCCTATGTGAAATTTGCACTCTACCACTGAGCTACACTGATAGCTTGAAGTGTTTATCTATTTATTTATTTTCTTCCTTTTCTTTCAGTACTGGGGATTGAACTGAGGGATGCTTTACCAAAAAACTACACCCCAAGCCCTTTTTATTTTGAGATAGGGTCTTGTCCAGTTGCTGAGGCTGGTCTTGAACTTACAATCCTCCTGCCTCACCATCCCTGGAATGACAAGATGTACTACTGTGCTTCAGTGTCTGTTTTAATTGAAGAATCTGAGCCCTAAAAGACTTGGGTAACAAGTGACTTGGAAATCCAGGTGATTAAAATTTGATATTAGAGTTTGACTACCCCTTTTCAAATTTCTACTTGAAAAATGGTARGTTATAGGATCTTGAACTTATCTCTGATTAAGTCTTCTCATCTATATAGTAGATGAAATGGTGTAATCTCAGCCTCAGTGGATTGTCGTAGGAATTCTGTTACATGTGAAAATATTGCTTTAACCAATTTGAATTACTATAACAGACTATCATAGACTGAGTGGCTTAAGCAACATACATTTACTTCTACAGTTCTGGAAGCTGGAAGTCTGTTGTCAGAGTGCCAGCATGGTCAAAGTTCTGGTAAGAGCACTCTTTCTTTTCCAGAGTGCTTACTGCCAACTTCTTGAATCCTCACAATGGAAAGACAGTGAGAGCTCTCTGGGATCCCTTTATAAGGGCACTAATCCCATTCATGAGGATCCAACCCTCATGACATAATCCCCTCTGAAAGGCCCCACTTCCTAAAATCATCAAGATCTCAACTGATAAAATTTGGGGATTCATGGACATTCATTCTATTATCTATTAACATGAAGCACAATGCTTGGTATATAGTCAGTACTCAATAAGGACAAGCAAATGTTATTATGATTTCCTGTGGTTCCCCCAATTTTTAAGCCCAATATTTTCTGCATTGCATGATGTTATATCTTATGGTGCTTGTTTAATGCCATTTGTGAAAATATGGTGCCCCTGTGGTTTACTGTTGAAAGAGGTTCTCCTTTATCTTTGTAGTTCCAATTCCTTTATATTTCTTTCTTCTTACTCTTGCCAGCCCTGGTTCCCCCATCAGTCTTAGCAATCCTGCCATACAGTAAAGTTCCAGAGGACTGAGGAGCATGAAAATTAGCCATGGACTTGCATTTCATAGTCAACCATATAGTTTATAAGATCTGATACAAAATCTTACAATTTAAATTTCAAAGGACCCAAAACTCATTATATTAAAGGGATTTGGATGATCTGCCCACAGAGTATCAAACCTACCTGCCTAAATTCTAGTAGGTTCTTATAGGGACCGAGAAAAAGGTTTTCCTTAAATTTAGGGTTTCTAATTACTTAACAAAATTGCAATGGATGAGAACAATCTTCTTTTTCCCTTTGCCTTTCCTTTGTTAGTTGCTGGGCCCACTTTTCAAAACTCTCTCTGTCGCATGATCTTTATGCAGCCCACTTTCTCTGGACTGTAAGCATCTTGAGGCAATGAACCACACTTGACCTTTTGCCTTTAGAACCGCGCTGCATATCTGGAATGAGACAGGTGGCCACACATGTTGAACTGATTTGAGTAATACCACACATACCAAAGGAATCCCTTTCTCCTGCCCTTCCAGATCTTGGTCTCTGTAGCAAGTTGTCATCCTGCTACACTAATTCACTGGAAAGCATGACAACAGCTGAATGTGAAATAAATGTGCATTTTACAACATAAAGTGCATTTGAAGAGGTTTATTTTAATGGTGTAAATCTAAGCAGTATTTTAAGAAGGCCAGGAAGACATTTTTTTGAGCAGCTGGACTTTTCCAACACCTTCGTGTCACACTACACAAACTGAAGCTTATCTTCTACAAATAAAGG